CACAAAAGAGATCTTCCAGAACTGCTTCAGAGAGTAGCAAGAACAGTGGGATGAATACTCAAAACCAGGGAGAGTATTTTGATGGCGATGAATGTATCTTTCATTGTAGTAATTTTTTAAAAATTTAAACATTTACTATATCTTTCAATCACACCTCTATGTGTGTTATGTCTCAACACTAGAAGAGGCTAGCTGCCATGCTACGAAAATAGTCAGGAGCCCTTGAAGAGGTTCACATAACAAGGAACTAAAGTTTCCTGCCAATGGCTGGTAAGGAATTGAGGCCTTTAATCAACAGCCACGTGAGTGAGACACGTTCAAAATGAATCTTCCAGTCCTAGACAAGCCTTCAGATAACTATAATCTCATGGATCCCAAGCCTGAACTATACAGCTAAACTGCTCCTAGATTTTCAAACCACAGAAATTGCAAAATAACTACTTATTATTTTGAGACAATTTTTTCCAGAGATAATAGATAATTAATTTGCCTATTTCCTGACATAATTTTCTCATTCTAAGTATGTTAGCTTCTCTAACTTAACAGAGCTCAAGTTTTGGGAAAGGTTCCCTGTCTAACATTTCCGCAACCACTAAATATAAGTACTACCACTGGTACTCTTTTTGACTCTATGGGAAATATCCTCTTAAGGATATTATTAAGACCCTGGTTGTGGTACAACTTATAAAGTGGTGGTAGAAAATTAGTGACATCAGAGTTATCCACCACATATTATACCTGAATGCAAAAGAAATCTCAGTTAAGTTCAAAGTAGTTTATTGGCGTCTCAAGGCTCAATTTTCATTCTAGAATGAAAACATATAATGAAAAACTCAGGATCAATCACAGTCAGTAAAGGAGCATGTTACTGTCCAAGTTTTTTTCCTTTTGGCCACATTGTATAGTGATACCTGGGTTGCTTTCCTCAAATTAGGCCTAACTTTTCTTAGATTTAACTTCATTTATTCATTCATTCATTCATTCATTCATTTTTTGGTGCCAGGAATAGATAGATTTAACTTTAACCTAGCAATTATTTTCCCTCCATGAACTACCAAAGGATTTTATTTATATTCCCTTCTTGCCATCACTTATAATCACTTAATCACTTATTCATTATTCCTATATCATTGAAGAACTATACAAGAGTCTATGTATGTGTATTTTCCTATCTTTCTTATATAAAAAGCAACATACTATATGTACAGATATATTTCTGTCCCTTCCTTTTTCACTTAACTGACAATGAAGATTATTCCATTTCACTTTTTGAAAAAAAAAATCAGTATACCACTATAGGAATGAAGATAGATTTGTATAATTTGTATAATTTTAATATGGCATTTCAAAGACTGGTTTAGGAGAGGTACTACTTAAAAATAATTAAAAATAATTAATTAAAAATAATTAAATAATAATTTAAAAAATTAATTAAAAATAATTAATTATTTTTCTTTATAGAACAAGAAAAAATGTGCCCCAACATTTCAGCTAATGATGAGAACGTAGTTGTGATATACATTAAGCAATATCATCATCAGGAACATTATCAGAAAATATAAACATAATCTACAAAATTAAATCTACATAAGCTCATATTTATATTTCCTGAGAACAGTCCAGAAAAGGCTCAACAAATGATAGCAGAATCCTTTATGCCCTCTTTCCTCACCTAAATGGAATACATATTATGCTTCAGAAATAGAAATAGTATCAACTAAGCCATGCTACTTTTCCTCCTACAGTACTCCATTTGCTATACAGAAAATCTTTAACTAGTTTCCTCAAAGATTATAAGCTAAAAACCTTATACTGCTCTAAGAAATAAACACAAAAATTACTTAATTTTAGTCACAATAATTCTCAACACATAAATTTCTTTCCAGAATAACTTCTAAGTATTCCTTTTTTTTGTTAACTTTTACCTGCACTTATTTTATGCTTAATTTACCCCCGTGCCATAAGTTTTCGTTTCCTCAGTTTCTTCTGGGATATCTTTTTCTTCTGTGCAACCTCCTCCTCTGGGTTAGGAACAATTGTTCCTTTTCAGTAAGGATCATCTCAGTGTGGCAGGGGGAGCTCGTGTGTGGGTTAATCCGGCCATGAGCTCTGCAGGTGCAGCTGCGCATCTTGGGTGCTTTGGCGATGTGTTCAATGACCACAGAATCTACATCTACACCCTTAAGTTCAGCATTACTCTCTGCATTTTAAGCACGTACAGCAAAAATTCAGCACTCTTTGGGCCACCGACCCTGTGACAGCCCCACTGTGTGGCCTGGGCACAGCTACCAACTCACACTGTGACACCAAAATGGCACTCATTGCTTCTTTAATGTATTTCTTCCTTGGATTTAATACTCAAAAACTGATACACAGAAAAATTGCAAATCAGTACAACTAACCATACAAACAAGAAAGAAAGTAACAGACTATATGATTAATATGTTCTGGCCAAAGGTAAACAGGAAAAAAATCTCATACAATGATCTTCACACAGGAGTTAAAGGAAAGGAAACCAAAAACAAAGATCACAGGGCACAGGGCATTCCCAATGACCAATATTAATGAGAATTAAATAAAATGAAACCACTGGAACTACACGTCATAAAATACTGCTGTGACAAAAATTATAAATATTTTTTAAAGTGCATACTAAAACTGGCTTAAAGTATTACGTTAAAGAATTGCATCAAATAGTATACATGCTGGACATGGCAATGTATACCTGTAATCCCAATGCTCTGGCAGGGTAAAGCAGGATTATGAGTTTAAGCAGCACACATCTAACAGATACTTAAGACAGTCATACAGCTAGTTTCTTAGTTCATTGAGAAGGAAGGTTTGGGGCTGGGGATTTAGCTCAGCGGCAAAGTGCCTGCCTGGCAAGCACAAGGTCGTGAGTTCGGTTCCTGGTACCAGAGAAAAACCAAAAAAAAAAAAAAAAAAGAGAGAAGGAAGGTTTGTGCTAATATTGTTTGAACACGATATCAAGCCTATATCTTGTACTCTGAGTAACAATATGCAATGTATTAATTATTGTAACTCTCCTACTAACCTGTTTTGTTTTTTTTTTGTTTTTTTTTTCCAGTACCAGGAATCGAACTCACAACCTTGCACTTGCCATGCGAACGCTGTGCCGCTGAGCTAAATCTCCCAGCCCCTACTAACCTGTTTTGAAACTTTTATTGTTTTGGTTTTTTCTCTTTAAAAGAAAAAAACAGGAGAAAATAAAATAAAACAAGTAAAACAAAAGCCAGTAGTACCTCTTCTGGGGATGTAGCTCAATGTGAAGGCCCTGAGTTCAAGCCTAGTGCCCCCCAAAAAGAAAGAAAAAGTAGTAGTATACAGAGCCAAACCATGGTTCACACCTATAAATCCCAGTTACACAAGAGGCCGAGGCCTGGGGATGGCAAATTAAAGACCAGCCTGGACAATCTAGTAACTCAAACTGAAAAATAAATAGCTGGGAAGGGCTGACGATGAGACTCAGCTGTGGAATGCTTCTGCACTCCATCATTAATGCCAAAAAAAAAACCACACGGAAACCAAGTCAGTAAGGAATGAGAGCAGGGAATCTCAGCACACAGTTCTCCCCACATACATTAATAATTTAATCCTAGAGTAACTGCTTGGAAGTGGGCCATATCAATTCAAACTGTTAGGTATCAAATGGCTCTGCCACTTACTAGTTACACAATATTGAACAAGTTTTTTAACTTCTCTCTGCCTCAGCTTTCTCACCTTTAAAGCAGAGTAGTCATTCCTATAGCATAGGGGGCTGTAATGAGTAAATTAGATAACTCATAAGCATAAAAGCATATAGTCAGTGCTCATGGAATGTTACTTAGTACGTAGTATTAGCAGGCTATATATAATTGGAAAATAACATTCATAAAATATCTCATTTTATTAATTCTAACTTTAGTGTTGAAGCAATTAGGTGAAAAACTTTAGATGGGGGAGAAGCATACAAAAGAGAACATTCATGATTTTAAAGCCCATAAATATACCAATATACAAATTTCATGCTCATCAAATGTCAAGTCATACATAATAGTCACTACATACTGCTCAACATTATTGAACTATAGTGCTTTGGTTCACAAACTCAATCCTCTCCACAATTCTAGTGACAAACTGAACTGGATGAGAACCGAATCAAATTTCCCCATAAGGTCAACAATGAACCTACCATTCAATTTGATTTAGTCCTCACCTAACTTGGTTTACAACCAGAATCATGGAAAGAATCAAGTTTGTTAACCAAACTGCCAAAACAATATAAAACAAAGAATTATATTCTGACAGACATAAATACAGTGATTTGCCATCACTGTATTCAAAAGTTCACACTTTACCAGGAGCTTCAAAAATAATTGATATTGAAGCATGATCTGATGAAGATTCTGACAAAGATATAAAAGAAAGATATTTGTGTTCAGTCACTTTGTGGGAACAGAGAACTGAACCCAGGGCCTTCACACTGAGCTACATCCTAGCCCTTTATTATTTTTTAGTTTTTGAGAGAGGGTCTCACTAAGTCATTAAAATTGCCCAGGTTGGGCTTCAACTTGCAATCTTCCTGCCTAGGCCTCCCAAAGTGCTAGGATTACAGGTATGCACAACCACACGAGACTTAACTTTTAAATCTTCCCTCACTCCTTGAGCTGTTTTTGTTATAGTTTGATTGCTTTTCAAAACATGGGTTAACTGGCTTAAAAATAGCTTTTGATAAAATACTTTTCAAGTGCTAAAGGTAGCCAGGCATTGCGGCACACACCTGTGATCCCAGCACTCAGGAGACTGAGGCAGCAGGATCACAAGGCTGGGCTACACAGCGAGTGGAAGGACAGCCTGGAATACACAGCAAGTCCCTGTCCCAAGAAAACAAAACCAAAAAAAAAAAACCAAACAAACAAAAAAAGCTAACGACAAACAGTAGCACAAGTAATCAAACTTAAAGGTAATAAAATATTACAAAGCCAGTGATAAATTCTTACCACCATAAAATCGAATCATACAGCCAAGGTCAGGATTTGTAGCCTCCTCCTGTATGCGCACAGGATCATCAAATCCCAGCCTGGATAAGTAATCATAAACAATCTGAAGAGGTCGTTCAGTAGGTTCCAGTCTCCTGCTTACACAATTCAAAAGAAAAATATATGGTAAGTAACAAAAATGTTTCATTTAATTTTTTAATCTTTCAACATACTTTTGGTTTTTATTTCTTTATCAAGATTTTCTTTAATAGCACAAAATACAAGTCTAAACAGGTGATTTTCAAAGGACTGGGTCACAGAATCCCTTTACACTGTTACTGTTGTTGTTATTTTGAGACAACAGTCTTAGTATGTAGCTCAGTCTGGCCCTAAACTTGCAGAAGCTTCAAACTCACAATCTTCTTGCCTCAATCTCTGACTGCTGGGTTGGCAGTATGTGCCACCACACCCAGCCCCTTTATATTCTTTGAGGACCCCAAAGAGCTTGCTCACCTGGGTTATATCTGGTGATATCTACTAAATTAGAAATTAAAATTAGGATCTCCCAGATTTATTACCTTAAAATTACAAAATTCATGGTATGTTAACATAAATATTTTAAAATGTTTTCAAAAAACTGAACGATAAGAGTGGCACTATTACATTTTTGCAAATTTCTGTAACAGCTGGTTTAACTGAAGATAGCTGGATTCTTAAACCTGCTCATAGTATATTCAGTCTCTTAGATCTCACGTCATGCAGCCTCTCCAAAGCTCCAATGTACACTCATGAGGGCTGCAAATGAAGAAGGAAAATTAATGTCTTACTATAAAATAATTTTGACCTCACCTCTTTGAAGAGTTTCACAATGGGGAAAAGCATCATAGAAACACTTCAAGGTCCTTTCAGACTCTCTGGCCTAAACTTAAATGCAATGGACTTATGAAGGTTATATTTAATGTAACCTAAAATAAAGGATTTTATTTGGCCATAAGTGATTTCATGTAAGTGACAGACATAAATACAGAAGTAGACTTTGGAGTTGTCTACTCTTCCCCAGCCACTATATATTTCCAATGGCTTCACAGATTATACTTCCATAAAAACTAGGAATGACCAGGTGGTACACACCTGTAATCCCAGCACTTCACAGGCTGAGGCAGGAGGATTAGGAATTCAAGGACAGCCTGAGCTTTATAGGGAATTCAAGGCCACTCTGGCCAACACGGCAAGACCCTGTCTCAAACATGCACACAAACACACACAAAAAAAGGGGCTGGGGATTTACCTCAGCAGCACAGCGCCTGCCTGGCAAGT